TCAGTTCCCGCCCCATAACCCTAGCTCATCTCCTTATATAGAGGTAACCGCTGAAACAACTTCATCTCACGCTCAATGTTAGAGCAACAGATGAAAAGAAAACTCAACATTGACCAATCTGCCGGCATTCTACAACTGAACAGCTGGCACAGCAAACATGTCACTCTTTCACTTTTCAATTCAAGTCTCACTAATTCTTTCTCTATAATTGCTTTACAAGAACCTTACGTCAATCCTATTGACAACTTACCACTAAATCACACAAACTGGACTCTGGTCTGTCCTTCCCCGAAAACTCTGACCGAGGAGGACAGACCCCGGGCCTGTCTTTATATTAGACAAGATTTAAACCCAATAATTAACCCAATTCACTCATTATCAAGAAATGTAGCGGCGTGTACAGTAACAATTGCAGGTTTCACCACTGTAATAGCTAGCGTGTACAACCCAAGCAAGACCCTTCTAGGCTTTGAGGCCTTCACCGACATTCTACACAAGGCACCGCTGGAGATCCAACTCCTGCCTGCCGTGTGTGTAGCTGACTCCAATCTCCATTCCCCGCTGTGGAACCCAAGCCACAGCGAGGTATCGGACAAGGACGCCGAAAGACTCATCGACATCATGACCGAGTGGGGATTCACGCTGAGGTCACCAAAAGGCATACCCACCTTTGGGGTACGCTCATCAAACACCAAAGGAACATCCATTGATCAGGTATGGGTGAACGAAGACTTTGATGACGCCGTGCTAACCTGTTTTATAGACGAAGACGATATACTCAACCACCACTCCGATCACCAGGCAATAGTGACCTGTTTCTCGACAAAGGGGGAGGATAAAAACGCCGCTGAGTCCCAAACACCTGTCAAGAAAAACTGGCATAAAGTTGACCGAATATTAATGGCCCAACAGGTCACGAACAACCTACCAAAGCTAGTACCCCTCCTCACACAACAGGACATCGAAACATTCGACGAAACCCTCCGAGCAACGATAATCAAGGCGTTTGACGACAACTCCCCAAGAAAAGCACCCAGTGGCAAGCATAAGGCCTGGTGGAATCCTGAGGTCCTGGAGCCTCTCCGGAAGGAAGCTACCAGGCTCAGGCGACAAGCGAAAAAGCTTGACACCAACGAGTCACGCGCCGCATACAAAAAGGCGCGTAACATCTTCAATCGCGCGATTGACCAAGAAAAAGAAAACTCCTGGAGGCAATTCCTCTCAGGAGTGGACCACACTAACCTCTTCCAGGCGAAACGAATCGCATCCGGACAAAAACCATCCTCGTTGGTCAGCACAATCATCACCCCCGAAGGACGAACATGCTCATCCAATGACGAGAAGGCCGAAGCGCTCTTCCAAGCGACCTGTGTGGCCACCGCGCCGTGCAGGTTGACTGACACCAACACTCTCAGCTTCCCGCTTGAAGGCGACCATCGCCCTTCAGCAGAAACAACACTCCCGTTCCTGAACTCCATCACCAAAGAGAGCATCGCGTCAGTTATCAACGATAGCCCGCCAAAGAAGGCCCCTGGAGCCGATGGCATCCAGAATTGGATTTGGAAGATGGTCTGGGACCAAACAAAAGCACATGTTACGTTCCTCTTCAGATGTGTCACGCTCACAGGTTTCATACCACAGGCCTGGAAAACTGCCGTAACGGTTATGATACCTAAACCAGGAAAGCCCAACTACACACAAGCTTCAGCATACCGACCTATCGCCCTGCTAGTCACGCTCAACAAAATTTACGAAAAGCTCCTCACGATCCATCTCTCAGCCTATGCCGAGAATCTGCATATGCTCCATAACGGTCACTACGGAGGCCGCCCCGAAAGATCCAGCCAGGAGGCTCTTGTCCACCTGGTATCTTGGATTAGGAAGGAATGGACCAAAGGTAAAGTGGTTGGCGCCCTCTTTGCGGACGTAAAGTCTGCATTTCCGTCAGTACACCACCCGAGGCTCCTCGACACCCTCAAAAAGAAAGGCATCAACACGCAGACGTTGAACCTACTGCATGATTTCCTCACCTCAAGATCAACCACGCTCACGTTTAATGGATACACGTCACACCCCTTTCCCCTGAACCACGGCTTACCTCAAGGCTCCCCGCTCTCACCACTATTATACCTATTGTATAACTCCTCCTTACTTGAAATTACTGACAATATTCCCTCTGCCACGGCTTTAGGTTTCATCGATGACGTGGTGCTACTATCCACCGCCAACGACACTCACCAGCTCAGATCACAGATGCAGACATTATCTTACCGACAGCAACAATGGGCCAAAAATCATGGCGCTATATTTGACATCAAGAAGACTTTTTGGGTCCTTTTTAGTTTACAGAACCCCGAAGTCATTCCAACAATCGACTTTGCAGATCGAAAACTCATCGAACCAGTGCCCTTCGCGAAGTGGCTTGGAATCAAAATAGACAACAAACTCAGTTTCAAACAACACCGACTTGACGTCATCGCCAAAGGACAACAACGAGCAGGCTTTCTAGCCGGCTTGTCACGAACAGGATGGGGCATCCCGCCCAGGCTGATGAGAATTCTCATGACCACCACAATCCACGCGGCTACCGATTACGGCGCCATGGCATGGAACCCAACGGAACCACCAAAATTCCTCATCGAAAAGTTGTCCCAAATCGACAATACTTGCGCTAGAGCGGCTCTTGGAGCGCTAAAAACCACGCCTACAACTTTCCTCAGACATGACCTACACCTAGTTCCAGCAAAGATCCGTCTGCAAAGTAAAGTACTTAGCTTTATGGCGCGTTCCCTTGCTAAATCAAAAACACATCCTTTCTTCTCTCTCATCCAACAAGCGCAGCACACGAATCCAAAGAGCCACCGTAACCCCTTCCACCTATTCTTCCAACACCCGCTACACACACACTTCGAGGAACACGTAGTCCAACTTCCAGTTGACCCAGCCTCGACGCTCCTCAGACCACCAAATTACTCGACAATTATCCAAGAGGACGAAGACACCGCCACAGCAGGTACACTCATGCTGAAACCCAGTAGTCACCACATCCTCATATTTACGGACGGCTCCCGCATCCCAACCAAAAACACAGCAGCAGCGGCTTGGTGCGCAAACACGAAAGCATCAGAATCAGTACACTTGGGTCCTGCGCGAACTCAAGGAATATACCAGGCAGAATACTGTGGAGTCAGACTAGGCCTGAAAATGGCTCTAGAACTGGCGACCCCGGCCACGCACCGAACGACAATTGTCTTAGACAATCAAGGAGTAGTAAAAGATCTGAAATCGAACTCGTCCAATGTCTCCTCCCTAGATAACCGACAACAAACATTCAAAATACTGAAATGTATCTTCCACAGCTTTCCTTCGATGAAAGTCACAATACGGTGGTGTCCCGGCCACAAAGGAATACCAGGGAACGAAGCAGCCGATAAACTAGCGAACAACCTGGCGAAACGTGACCTTCCGAGCACGTTCACCAACACACCCAACTCAGCAGCGTTTATTTCTGCAATCAACGAGTGGAAGAATTCACAAACCGAAACCTTCACCAAAGACGAAATCAAAAGATTAGGACACAAGCCTAACCCCAAAAAACACCTGAAAGGCCTCACCGACCTACTGAAACACGAAGTCGCCACTATAACACAGCTAAGATCTGGACACATTCCCCTCAACGTCTACCTTAACAGATTTAAACAACCCATTGACCCAACGTGTTCTTGCCAAGAAGGCATAGAAACCGTGGACCATTTTCTTTTCATATGTCAGAATCACGAACGCTACAGAAACAAACTCGAGCACGACCTTCAAGGCCTCACCGACGAGAAAATGAACAAACAAATATTATCCAGCCCTCAAAGCTTCAAACTTCTTGCCACCTTTTGCAACTCCACATGGAGGTTTGCACATCGTTGGACATGGGCTAAGGCCACCAATGAACCCCACCCCCAAAACACGACACCCCCACAGGATTGTTTCTAAAATCCATCCCCCTACTTCACCGCCTCTAATACATACCCAGACTAAACACGTGTAAACTAGATGAAACAGCCAACAGCAACCCTTTCCCCTGACACAGCCAGAGGGGTTTTACAGGTGCTGGACATAAAAACATAGTGTTTAATAGCCTAACGGCTCAAAAAACACTTTAAGCAATGCAAAAAAAAAAAAAAAAAAGCTGCTACCCAGTAGCAGCTACTTTGGTTGCGCAAGCCTTCGAGTATTCCGGGGAGGATAACGAAGCGATATCGCGACCTGTCAACTGTGTTGATACCTAAGTATGTATCACAGATACTCGACACTTCCTTTCAGTATTCAGTACTCAGACTTGATGCTCAAATGCTGAGTCTTCCCCAAGCTCATTTGTAAGAATCTGCTTCTGACCCTTTTCCTCAGTCCAGAATCTATTGTATATAATGTATGTAGTTCGTGTTTTATCATAAAGCATAATAATAATCACTATCAAATTCATCTACATATATTCTTACTCTTCGGAGTACTCTGTGAGACTTTCGATCTCATCATATATTCCCAGTCGAGTGATATCTGCTGGATCGGCTATTTCACTCGCGTTACACGACGCTTTACATCTACATACAAACTGTTGACCCGTAGTGTACTCTCTCATCCTCGAGGCTCGTCGAAGCCATTTTGACAAGCAATTTGAAAAAGATTCTATGTACAGCGTGAGTCAGATTGACTACATAATGGCTCCAATGCAATGGCTCACATTGTATTGAAATGTGACACATATTTCGCCCCAGTGGCCGAGCGGCTGCAAGGCTGAATGCCGAAACTTACTGTCGTTCTCGAAAAGCTTGTCCAAGTTTTCCCGCCAAATTGCTCGAGTTTTGCAGGAAAACTAGGACAAGATTTCCGAGAACAACAGTATCTCTTATCCATCAATCCTTTAAGCAATCGGCAGACTTCACGCATTCTGATACTTTGGCTGGCTCAATCACATCGTTGCTTTGTTACTTTCCTTAACCTATCTCAAGATGCCACCGGGATGCTTCGGACATAGGCGTTCGACCGCCGATATGGCGACTGATTTCCGACCCAACTCAAGTGAGAGTGGTGATACCGCCAAGCATCCTTCCCCGCCTGTCTCACGAAGACCCAGTACATCGATACCCAGCACCGATCCAAAAATGCCTGCATGGTGTCAACAGTGTACAATTACATCTGACCGGCCATTTGTACACCTGGGTAAGTCTGAAACATGCTCTTAGTTTTCGTCAAGGTTTATGTCTGACGCAAGTGCTTGCGTTATCGGGTTACGTTACGCCAGGTAATCCGGATGAATCCTGCGACTTATCTCGTGAAAGGTGGGATTCGTCAAGCATGCGTGGGCAACAGCCAACCCAGTGTCCGCATAACACACCGGTAGCGTCGCTATCCATCAAGACGAACATGGGCGTAATATCTTGGGACGAACGCCGAGCGCGGGCTAGAGCTCTTGCCCAGATCACTCATGACTTGCCGGATCCTCGGCTCATGCTTTTACGCCCTTCGAACTCACAGTCATCGCCCTTGAGCTCACCGGAAATTCGTTCTCGCCAGCCCTCCAATAACTCCAATTGGACTCATGATTCAGAGGAAACCTCCGGAGGCAGCGTACTCCATTCTCCGACCTCCAATATCCTTGTCAGCAGCCCAATTAGATCAAGTCGGGCCCAGCATATCTCTTTGGTCAACAATCAATCTTCTAAAGCGATGGAGAGTTTGAACGCTTTTTCGGACGAGGAGGAAAAGGTCCGGTTTGTTCAACGTGAAACATTCCTTGAGCGCTATGAGAAACAGCGACACACCTCATTTGTCGAGTCGTTAGAAAATCCTGAGGCTCTGATCCCTTCGACCGAAAACTTAACTACTTCCTTCACCACAAACTTCAGGCGTGCGATTTGTAAGAATCTGAGTGCTCGCCCCGGCAGTAGGAATGGCATGAAGTATTTTCCTATCAAGCCTTCCAAGCCTAGAGCGGCGTCAACATTATCACATTCCACGGGGGATACAAGCTTACCGATAGAAATTGTCAAGACCGTATCCGTGATCGTGGAAGACAATGGCGTGACTTCAAATCCTCCACCATCCTCAGGACCGCTCATCAACACCCCTTGTGACAGTACTCCTCTTGAGCCTGCAATCAGTGATAGCACTAGTGGAAGATCTGCCAATACCTTTTAAATCAATCCGCCAAAATTTGGGGAAAATCGACTTCTACCGGCATTACACGACATTCGCATTGATATTAACTTGAGACGTGATATCGACACTGACGGTACAGTGTATTGTTGTGCCTTTGTTCAAACGGAAGACTTTATCCTCTTTTAGGTTGAGCTATCCCCCAATCCACGTCTAACATATATATTTGATAGGTGAATTGTAATGCAAGAATGATGGCATGGATCAGATACGGGATAACGAGTGAGACGAATGCTCATGAATTGGTCATGTTAGTCTACAATAACGAGTCCTGGAGTATTGTATAATCTAATTATAGCTTACAATGATCACGACAATGATTGAGTTCCAGTATTGCTTGCATGCCTTCTCTTCCCAAGAATGTAGATACATACATACCACTTTGCCAGACAGACATAGAAATACGGTTCCAAACGAAATTCACGTCTCAAATGTGCACAATCCGAGCCAACCAGCTCACATGTGGTTTGTGTGCTTTTTGAGCTCTGACCCCAGATGTGCCAAGCTTCATGACTAGTTTGTACCCGTGAGGGTATCAATGCTGTTTCGAAGGCCTCGATGACGCAGACTCATGACGCGCAGCACAGTTGACCCAAACGCGCGTATCATCGATTGTCGGGATGGGAAAGACGAATCAGAAGCTCGAAACTCTTCGCTTTGAACACGTCTGGTCTCTGGTCTTTTCCTTCACGTTGTGATTTCACTTACGAAGCCCTTACAGGCGAAACGAGCTCACATCGACCGGTTGGCAGAGGCACGTCACTTTCAACGTCACCCTCAATGCGCATAACCACCAGGCAGCAGCAGCCTATGTATGGCAGGATATCCAGTCACAGCTCGCCTCTGGTCAACAGATATCTTGGTATACATTCTACCTCACGTACAGGCGATAGGGAGAAGAGTCTTGTGTTACAGCATTTGCGACTGCTGCTCGTCTTAAATCTTTGTGAACCACCCGTGAAGTTACGCGGCACATCCCTCATCACTCGCTTGTCTCAATCCGTTCTTTGAAGATTCTACGCCATGAGTGCAAGGCCACGCTCTGATCAGTCGAGTTCCGAGTTCGACTCAGACTTCGACCATCGCCCCCACAGCACGTTTATTGCTGATGCCATTCGTTTAGCCGCGTCAAGACCATTATTGATCAATCACCCCAACTCGAAGAACAAGCCATCAAGTACTTCTACAGACGCAGGCACTCTGCCCCCCGTGCGTCAATTCACAGCACGCACTACCAGGTCGGGTAGCCTCACCAGCCAAGATGATGATATGGTGACAGAACCTTTAAAAATCAAACGCACTTCTAGTACCTCAGTGGTTGCGCGTAGCTCAACCCACGCCGAGAAGATTCCAACTGCTACAATGATGAACGTAACTGCGTCACACGTCGATCGACAATTCGAGGATACTCTCTATCACACTATCCATCCTTTCGAGACCGAAATTGGTCGAGGACCATCACACATGTCCTCTGTTTCACAAACCATCGCGCGGTTCCCCTCAAACCCTACACGCCCGCGCTTTTCACGAATGAAGTCTGCGCCTACTCTCTCGCGGAATGACTCGGCTGCAGAAACCGCACCTCTACCTCTCCCTGACGAAGACGAGGCAAACTCCAGCGAGACGTCATATTATGGTCAGAGAAGCAACGTGGCAAGCACCCGAAAAAGTCTTAGGATGGCTGGTTCTAGACCTCCTAGCGTATCGCTGTCCTCCCACTCCCGCTCACGTGCTCAAAGCGTCCGAAGTCGTGCGTCTAGTGCCGCAAGCTGTCCTGACGAACGTGATGACCAACCTGTCTCGGGTTATCTCTTCTTACACGAGATACCACCTCTTCCTCCTTTCCCCAAGCCTCCCTCCAAAAGCCGTCCGAAGCCCTCGTGGAAAGACGCTGAACAAAGCAGAAGTGGACTTCCTAATCTGGAACGTGCGCTTTCGGTACGCTCAATGATGAATGAAACGAAGGAGGGAACTTCACCGTTCCAGCCTTCTAAGACGTAAGCTGATCTCCCTCATCAGCCTGTTCTATTTTACCTTTCCATATTTCTGACCAGTCCGGCCGGGTGCTTGTAGTGACACACCATCATTACCATCACCTCAGCACGTGTGGTATTTTCTACGGGTGTTAGTAGGCCTAGAGCTCCGATGGGAGTTTTCGCGTGCCTGGAAACTAACGAGTCTTGATCATATTGAAGGCGATCGTGATGGCAATAATAATAATAATATCATGGGACACTATGCTTTACCAAACGATGATGGGTGAGTAATGAAAATGTCGCCATTGGCAGTCCCATTTCCTCGTGTTTTAAGTTGCAATGATGAGCTTTCCAAGATCTCTTGCTGATTTACTTTTGACATACAGGAGTACTTACAGTCATGATTCCAGCTCCACCACAGAGCCCATGTCTTCGGATCATTTTCCTATCCTACGCTACCTCATTCGGCATTTTCTCCTTACATTTCCCATAATTCGGGACATTGTTTCAGTGGATCCAACTCACATCAATGCCAGCGAATCGAACCAGGAGGATAATGACAATTCTCCTACCATTCCAATATACTGGACCGCTGGAATAATCCCTATTCTGCGACGATTCCAACAAGCCAATCTTAGCACATCGATCGACTTGGGAAGCCGCGGTTTCCTTGAAATCATGGGCGGTGTTCATGTCATGGGTATCATCGAGCGGTTTGTTTCAACCGGTATAAAGATTTTGGACGAGCCCGTCGATCTTAAGCGTGAAAGTTTGCAGCATACTTTGGAATCATCAAGATTGGACCCTTCGTTTCGGGATGCGAGTGCCACCTCTCTGAGTCGTTATGGAGAACAGATGAAAGGTATCGGCAAAGAGTGGCAAAGAATCTCGGCCGGAAGCCACGCAGCTAGCCAACGGGCGGAGATCGGAACCGTGACACCCTCCAACTCTTATCACATTGGTAAAATCTCGCCGCGTGCAGATTCAAGATTAGATCAGTCAAGTCATCGAGACATTGAAGAGTCAAATAATTACGAGCGCGTGGCCAATAAAACCCCTTCGGCGGATCCTGAATATGGCCAGGTGCGATTGGGTCCGCGCGCTTCGAATTCTGATCTCACCACTTGGCTACCAAATGTATTCAATCAAATTGAAGCACCCGCAATGAATCTTTCAGATACTGTAGGTAGCTCTATTCGTCATGAATCCGACAACTTCCGCCATCCGCCCACAGACCAGACTGCTGATGGATCAAAAGAAGAGTCTGAGCCACATTCTATCGCACATCAAATGTATGTTTTAGCACTAGAAGGCTCAGAAACTGATAATATGGGCCGAAAAACCTCGCATTCGCATCAAATGAGTAACTCTCTCAGTCGATTTGGGTCCGGACGTCATCGCGCCATGGCTTCCCCTTCCGAAATGAGTCTTAGGGAAGGGGACGCTTCGGGATATCCTGATAATCCATTAAATGCGCAAGCCGAAAAGAGCTCCGTCGACTCCTTAATATGCTCTCCGAGCGCTCGTGCGAAGTACCAGAGACCGACGCCTGTAGAAGGCTACACTATCCCTGACACCATGCTCTATCCCGATTCGTCGACGCTGCATCTTGATTTGGAGTCATCTCAGAAGCTCCAGGCGCCTCACGTATATGATACATCATCTGCTCATTACCGGAAAAGGTCAGAAAACGCCGGCAGAAGTGATGACAATCTTTTAGATGGCGCCGAGAAAGAACATGTCTCTGGTCAGATACCCGGAGCTAGTGACGTGTCACGAAAGGAGGTTGGGACATCTTCGAGGAAAAGACGGTTTACTTTGCGCTCGATATCACGTTGGATGAACACACCGCCCAAAAGCTCGGAAGATATCGCCAATAAACCAGTGGATATTCCTACCACATCGCGCCTTGCCCCCGCTTCGTCTTCTCACTTGTCAATAAACGCGATGTCTCCAACAATCTCAAGAGACAACACGGACAACTCATCTGAAATGTCTGAAAATCAGCCTCGTCATCGTTTCTATGCTGCCATGGCAGTCCCAGAAACGTTGTATCAAAGTTCATCGAAACAACAATATCGACATGGTGTTGTGCCGAAGGTTCCAAGCAAGCCCGTAAAGAAACAATTACCACCTGTTTGCAAGCAAGGAATAGACTGGCCTTGGGGACATCCTGTGCCTTTTTGGAAAGGCACGCCAATTCACAAAGTCTCTTGGGGTGGCTTTGAAGTGGATGTGGTCGGCTTGCGAAAAACATTCCGGGGACACGTGAGTATCAACCACAGTTTCGGCGCAAAAGTATTCATAAGACTTTCAGTACATACCCTTTTGCGACCTTGAACTGAAAGACAATCTCATTTCCTCCTCTTATACGCTTCGCAGTCATTCTTGATCCGAGTTCGACGGCCGTCACGCATGGATGAATACGTCCTGCGCGATGAGAGCCACTTCAAACGTTACCTCGCGGTCCTAGACAAGGAGTTTCCCAATGCCGTAATAAGAAGGATACCGAGCAGTGATATCAGACCAGAAGATGACGTAATCGACCCAGTTGAAGTAACGGATTTCTTTCTGCGTCCGACACTTGACTTGGGCCGTGTATCTGAGAGGCAAGATCACTCTACCGAAGAAAAAAACGAAACCTACTCAGCTGTTGAAAAACAGGCAACTGGTCCGGCCTGGAGGATCAATGTTCAGCCACCGAGCACTATCAATACCACACGGACTAACGACCAGAATGGGTTTTCCGGCAGACGTACCGGCGAGGATACTAGAATCGATGGATACCAGAAAAGGCTTTCGAGCAATGTAACTCCCACTGGTACAATTCGACGCAGGAATACGCTGGGCTCACTATTTCGAGGGGGTAACCACCATTCCAAATTTTCCCTTGAAACTCCATCAGATCATGGGGTTCAAATGCAAACCGAACCCTCTTACCTCCCCGACAGGATAAAGTTGAATAGAGAATCTACCAGTGCAGGCAAGCCAAACAATTTCAGCACTGGTCTCGCGAGGAAATTGTCCAAAAATTCATCAAAGGCTTCGCATGACGCCCATCGACGAGCATTGAGGGGTTGGCTTCGTGACACGCTTTCGATCAGGATGGTTGGGCATCATCGAGAGACCGCAGCTTTCTTACTCCTGAACAGCATCATACCAAAGGAAATTGACTTACTAGAGATACGGGATAGGGAAGCTGTGGATCGAGATCGCAGAGAACGGAGGATTTTGGTAGCTCAAGGTGCTGCAGAACGCGCGAAATTGATACATGAATGGTGGCGAGAAGTTGTTGAGGAGTTTGTAAGCGGAGATGGATTAAATAACCTCTCGGATGAAATCAGGAAATGCCGCAAGATCGATGAATTGCCGAACAGGTTTCGAAAGTCAATAGAATGGATTCAGATGAATATTGCTCAAGGCATACATGACTTATTAGTCATTGGTGAGCAGTCAGATGTATTTTTCGAAAAGCTCTTGAGCTATAATTCTTCTTTTCCGTGGTTTCTCTTCAAAAACATTCTCAAAATCCCAAAAACAAACTTGATGTGCAAGGCTCTAGTAGAATTGCTGTTCTTTAAAAAGGGTACACTCAATAAAGGCAGAAAAAGTTTGATGCAACGCCTCATCAACATCGCTATTAATGAAGACGAAGAAGACCCCCTCTCCATACAGAAGCGTATACATTCTTGCCGGGCACGTATCCAGAGTTTGACGATGTGCGAAAAACTGATCAAGTTTGCGTATGCCGACCGCGAAACGAAACAACTTTTCCGAACATACGCCGGTTAGTCACATCATTTTTGACTATCTGATTATGACTAATAAAGAACATCTCTCCGGATTCATTTGGAACAGATTCAGAGAGACTCGAGCTGGTGGTAACGATCGTGCGCAGCGCGGAAGAGCCCCGTTTAGACAAATATGACTTGGAGAGGGTCGTGCGAGCCTCGAAGGTATATGCCTCCCTCCTGAGAAAGAACCGCAACCGCATCACGAAGTCGATGACAGAAAACATCAGTGTTCGATTGATTCTGGATCTTAAGTTGTATCTCCGTCTTGTCAGCCAAGAACGCGACACGAAGCAGGTCCAGGAAATCTTCTCCGAAAGCAGCACACTCGAAGCATTTGAGATTCTAGTGACGCCTTTCCTTGAGTTTCTTAAGCGCACTTACAAGATTGGAAATGGACCACAAGCGGTAGATGATTCTCAAAAGTTTATCGAACAGCTTATAACTATATTAACTGCTTTAAGAAACAGGATCCAGGGTTAGCCATCATTGTCATTTTTGCCTCAGACCCCTTTAACTACAAAACACTGATTATAATTGATTCTACAGATCCCCAGAAATCAGTCCGCATCATCGCTCGATTATTGGATCGCCATCAGCAAACCCTTTATGCTTGGATACGATCCATACATACTCATGATTCAATTTTCGAAGAGATCTTTCAGTGGGCTTGGACGGCAATGATGTTTCTCAGACGCGGTCTCTCGGAGCCTGTACTCTTGCCTCAAATCCTTCCAACCACAGGAAATGACGCTCTCAAAAGCGAACTGGACGATCTGGTCCATTGGGAATCTCTGAAACGCAAATTACAATATGAGCACCTGTGCCGCCGATATTCTTCGGACGTGGATGGCGACGATCCAGTGATAGTTGAGGGGGATGGGTTTGGGAAATCCAAGCTAGAGCCTCTTGTGGAAATATCACCGCGACCCCCAAGGCTAGAGCAAATTCCGCGTTGCTTATCAGCCTTCAGGAATGCGATTTCCCAAACGTGAGTCTACCTTTCCCAACTTCGGTTGAGTAGTCGATACATATCAGACGCTGAGTGGATAACACTCTTTTATGAAGGTGTTTTAGGTTCCTTGTGTGAGACAAGCTATCAATATGTGTTCATGCAACTCCTTGGAAGATGTTCCTAGTACAACACCTCTTCATTTGAATGCTCATGGCGAGACCATGAAGGCATCGGATCTACAAATGTTTGAAGTGCAAAACTGAAGCTTGACTTTTTTGATCGGACGTTTGTGATGTGTGTAATAATAAAAGTTCTTGTCGATAAAACCAAGATCTTTCACCACCATTTAATCGCGTTCAATACATTTGTCTTTTTCTTATCTTACCAAACTTGAAGTCCAACTGGGATCCCCTTTTGTGGAAGTTGAGCGCAAGCTAGCATGTTCTATTTGAACCTGATTGTTTTTTCGCCTTCCCTCGAATCCAGATCCCTCGTTTCCTTCATTTCCTTTGATCGCCACTTCAAACTTTGTTTTTATTCAGTAGAAAATCACGGTCTTCCGTATGTTCTTTTATCTTGCTCGCCTTTACCACATCGAAAACAACTCCGTTAGCAACCTCCATAAAATGTATCCATATATGTAACTCATCCACATCGACGACTTTGGCAGGAGCCCTGCGTTTTGATACCATCAATCCGTCTTCGCGGATGCTTGCGCAAAGTTTTGAAAGTCACTTGGAACCCGACTTATCGGGAGGCTTGGGGAAGTATTGGCTGAATAAGAAGCAACCTTCTTTCGGAAAATTGAACATTTGTCTGAGAGCGCTGCCAGACACCATCACAACACGGACATTGGCAAGCGCATAAGAAATGTAGCATAGGATTCGTAAGCCTCCGAGTTCAAGATACGTACCCAAAGCAAGTCAAAGGATATCACAAAAGTTGGAGATATGATTGGGGTTTTCAGCCAGAGTGTGAATGTGTTTGTCCAGGGTCATTCTTTCTTTGGTCAGTTTGTTGTGGAAAACCTGAGTCGTAGGTTGGTACGTGTATTAACCAAGCGGAGTGTCAAAGGAGGAATGACATCCAGGCAAATAGGGTAATGTACGAAAACCTCTAAAGAGGTGCAACAAAGATGACAAATGGCAGTCTCCCCCAAAGAGTCTGTCAATTCAACATTCTGATGCAATTTTCATTTCTCCATCAAGAATTTGTTTGTCAGAAAAATTTCATCTTCATTTTTTGCTAAACTCGTTATCAACAACTTCAGAAAAAAGAAAATCAATAATCTACAAAAATACACTTTCAGTATATCTTTTTCATCAGCAGCGTCATGAAAGTTTCAATAAAAAAAAATCTTTCAGTTGTTTTCATAAAATCTATATAGTTATCTAAATTTCTTTTTCCCGCCCACCACCAAACTTAACAAGTTTGGCCCACCACCCTCTTATAAGTCAGACTAGTGTTAAGTTTCTAAGGGGTGTTGAGATTCAATCAACACAAGCATACATGATCTTGCTCCTAGATTATGCTTATAGCAGATTTCACCCCAATCTTTGCACATATATATACAACAACATATTATTCTTGATGGGTCTTCTTTTCCCCATCAATGAAAAGAAGACTTCTTAGTTGTTATCCTTATCGGACCCAAGATAAGACTGTGAACTTGTTTGTTCTTTTCAACTTAGACCGTATTCCAAGACATTCTCAAGGGGCTTTTCAGTTATATTCTTAAAAATTGTTCTCTTTTTTATACAGTCTAACCCGCGCTGTTGTATACCCGCGCATATGCATATCCAGCCAAAATGCATAGGTTTTGGTCTCCACCACGCTGGTGCGGGCCAAAACAAGATTTTAATTGCATATTGCATGATGCATAGGGTCAAAGCAAAAAAAATTATATCTTGGAAGCGGTATTGCATAGGTCAAACCCAGTGATGTGGTGGTGATACTGACAAAAAGCAACAGCAGTTGTGCTTTGGAATGATCAGCAAAGTGATATCACCCACCTCACACGATCTTCGGCTCCCTTAGATCAATTTGCATCTTTTTTCATCATGTCTGCTACTGAAAACAAGGAATTAGCTCACATAGAGGGCACTGGTACAGCTTCTGGTCTCAAATTGGACAACTCTTTGCAGAAGTATGCCGAGATGCTTGAGTCCGAGCTGTTTTTTGGTAACAAAAAACAAGTGGCAATAACTGATTTCTTCCAACGTGTGACTATATCTAACACTTGATTATCGATAGCCTTCAAAAATACTTCAATTTCTTTCTTTTTGTACATGTCGTACCAAATAAGCACAAGTCCTCAAAAGTTATTGTTTGTTGACTGTTTTTTGTAACACATTGTACTTGATAAAGCATGTTCTTGAAAACAATTGTTTTTGTTTCTTTCTGTACATATCGTACTAAATAGACAACAAATGTCCTCAAAATTAAACACTTTCTTACTGAAGTTTTCCCACCTTCACCCTCTCTTGTCCCATATGGGTGGGGTAATACAATAACCGTACTAATGCATAATTCTATGCAATACACCCCAAAATCTAAATGCATATTTTTATGCATTTTGGGGGTGTAGGTCAAAAAGCATAACCCGTCTAATTGCATAGGAAAGTGAGTCTCCCCAAATTATGCATTAGCGCGGGTTAGACTGTAATGCGGACTGGGGAGCACTCTAGTGGGGTAGCTCAGCGCCCAGTGTGGCCACCCGCAAGTACTCCCAGTCCTTTCCCCTCCTGCACCCCACAACTCAGGCCAAAACATGCTGCAATCCAGGCCTCCGACCGTCATGAGTAGTACACGGAACTTTGCCAAATAAACCCAAACTGATTCCCTACGCAGGCTGTAAGTGTTGCATGAAGTGATTTCACCATATGTATGAGGTGATCATTTTCTCAGTCTAGTTTCAGTTTTGCAACTTATCTCAGGATTTTATGTCATGCCTGTGTTGTAAACTCATGTGGCTTACACGACTGTGGCACAGACTTTCTTGGGCTACTGCTAACAAAACTCTGTCAGATCTTGTTTTCAGATTCCACTTCATTTGTGGGATCTTATCTTCCTTTTCACTTATGTGTTATCCACATATTGTCCATTCACTATATCACGGTCAAATGTCATCCTTTGTAAACTATATCCAATCCTTAAACCATCAATTCAAAACAATCTAGAGCCCTAATGACAACTCAGTGATCCATCCCCTTATAAGGCAGAGACTCTGCTAGAGAAGAGCTACAAGTATATGTAGTGAAGATGTGACCTTATAACAATATTGATGTACAATGCGGATGATATTGGTTATTCCATTCAGGTTGCCATGTTTCTTGTGAGGCAGAACACCTCCTGGACCTTGTGTCTCCCAGGCCATAATTTGATGCTAAAAATGAATGTAGCTCAAGCCTACAATGAGGTTGTGGTGAGATTTAGCCTGCTACGGCAATAACTTTCTGCAGAGAAAAATGGAGATCAATGTGTGTCAGTGTCAAATTATCAAGTTGGCTAAATTGAAAGCTGGCACACAGTGTTGACTAAATGGAATGGGGGAAGGCATAGGCGCAAAAAGGCAAAAAGGGTGGCTAGGTTGACAGACGAGGAAACTAGGAGACCATTCACAAAGGATTGTTGTAAGGATTAAACTTGCGGAGCTCCCTCAGAACTGGTTCATCATCTCTCTTCAGTGTCCGCTCAATTTCTTCTTATGGATTTCTATGGAGTCCCGGAATAGGCATCTAGTAGTATGCACTGCAGCTCCAATAAGCGCAATCTTGAACAAAAACCTGATTGAAAACCTCTGACCTATAAGATGGTACAGAGTAATGATAATCTGATTAGTATATATATTATCAATTGCTAGATAACTGATCTTTGGATCTAAAGAGGACTGTTCTACTTGATCAAAACCACATATAACATATTTTGTCAATAAGCATATAACATCATGCAAAGAAATAAAACTGAAGTTGAAAAGAAAAATCACAAGTGAGTCGAGTGAATTCAGGGATAGCAACTATATGGAGTTAATGATTTTGGTGCATTGGGGCCAATTCACAGCTAATGTATCCTCCTAATTTGAAAATGATTTTAATATTCCTCCTCTTTTTGGTAATCTCATGTATCTCCTAATTCTCTTTCCCTTGTTGATTGAACACTCCAACACTCCCGTTGTTTTCAGTAAAGAAATTGTTGTTTCAAAAATTACGAAAAATTCTTTCTTTCCTCTCAATAATTTTTACAATATTTCCAACTATCAATTCTAGTTATTTTAGGATACAGACCTTAGTTCCTCCAGTTCATTTAAAAATCTCACACTCTTGCTATACACCAAGTTGGACCCCAGGTTAGATTTTTTCATTGCCTGCCCACCTGCCCAAACTTAAATAAGTCCCTCACCAACAGCCTGAGGCTTGAGCAAGGGACTTACCTCAAAAACCCAAATTTTTGCGCGAAAAGCAGGCTGTATTCAGCAAAGAATCTCTACCTCTTAATATTTTTTTGGCTCATTCAAGTCCCTTTCATGCAAAGAGGTAAAATAATGCCCACAAGCCATTACAACGCTCCAACTTTCAGAAGCTCCATTTGTGGACTGGAAGTTCTGCTGCTCAGTGACTTGTGACTTGACTTTGCCCCTTCCTGAGCAGGGAGTGGGTTTGGGGTCTGTATTTCTCAGAAACTGGTGGAAAACTCCAATCTTGGACCACCCAAAAGTGCAAGTTCCCAAAGACATATTGGAGAGCTTCAAGCACTAGCACACATAATGGACTCTTCCTAACAGCCTTTTCTTTTTCATGAGGTGATGTTTATATAGCCACAAAACCAAGAACACAATCAGGGTATTTAAGATTTGATAAGTGGGCTCCAGAAGTGTCAAGAAGTGACATCCAGAAGTGGCTCTAGAGTTTTCTTGAGTGACACTTCTGGAACTTTCTTCATAACTTTGAGAGCCCCATCAAGTGGTGATGCTCATTTGGGCACCAGATTTCCAGAAGACCTCCCTTACCTCACGCCTTTTCATCTTCATTTGCAATCACATTGATAGCACTTAGCGTGATTGGTCAAGATGCAAGAGAGAGAAGGTCTTCTGGTAATCTAGTTAGATTGCTAAGTGAGGACTAATGTCTACTGATCAC